GTCTCTGAACATGTAGATTTGTGAAGAACATCTGACAGAGAGAGGCGTATGTTTTATCAAAATAGCAATATAATTCTTAAAATAACAAACACCAACTGTTGAGATACAATTTTTAAAGTGTGCAAAGAACTTCTCAGCATTTCAGTTTGACATTTGTAGAAGGTAAGATTGTATATCCCCCATAACATGGCATCACTGTCATCGCTATTATAAACTTTGCATTATGTTTCCATTTAAGTTCTCAGCTCCTTATAATTGGGTAAATCTATACCAGTGTGCAGGGTAAACACCTTCCCATTTTTTTATCTCTCAGCTAAAAGTGAATCTTGGTAGAGCAAATCAATGCTGGGCAGCCTCCCCTTGACTGTGACACGTACTGTACAGTGTATTCCTCTTGATTGCCGGATGAGACCTACAGTACACGGCATACCCAAAATGATTATTACATTATCTAATTGCATCCACATGTATAATATTCAGGCCTTGACAACATAATGCTCTCAGGGAAGGGAAGAGATCTGTGTGCCTTCAGCTGTCACTGAATAGCACTCTACTGCTTTTTTCTTTCTTCTGTCATAACACCCACTTTTCAGGCTGGTCTCCATAAAGCGATGATACAGAACATGATGTCATTAACAATAATCATTTTAAAGCTTACCCCACCACTTCATCTGTAATTCACACTGTTAATCCTCTGGCCGCTATGAACTTGCCAACACTTTCTGAAGTTTCTCATCTATATTTATTAATAATTGATCACTAATAGCATATAGATAGCCCTGCAATGGATTGGCAAACTGTCCAGGGCGTACCCCGCCTTCGCCCGATGGCTGGCCGGGATTGGCTCCGTCCCCCCCCCCCCCCGTGACCCTGTTCAGGGACAAGCGGTAGAAAATGAATGAATGAATGAATAATAGCATATAGAGACAAGCTTTAAAAAAAAGTGTTGACGTGAATCTTTCAGGCAATAAGATTATGAGTAAGGTTTTAAAGTTTTACACATTGTGATTTTTGATCTATATTCATATATTGTGCATATCTTTGCCATTTCAAGCAGAAATTTCATTCTGGGAACAAGGTCACGTTGTTTACAATAGCCCCTTTTCCACCATCTGGTACTGGCTCAGCTTGACTCAACTCGACTTACCTTACTTGTGTTTCCATTAGTCAAACATTGGGGATAGTACCTGGTACCTGGTACTACTTTTGGTATCACCTTCATCGAGGTTCAGCTAAGGCCATACCAAACAGTGACGTGTAAACACTGCAGACAACTCAGAGAAATTTGTCATTACTACACGGCCATCTTGACACCAATGAACCCGGCTGTTTACATGTGATGACTCCAGCTGCTCGTTCTTCATTCATTCATAATAGTAGCTGCCAGTTCTTTCTCACGTGTTATAGAGGGTACAATTCATTGTGACAGAGGCCTGGAGCCTCTGTAACTATATAATATAATCATTATTTTACGTGAACCACCATGTTATACATCTTATCATGTAGCCTAAAGGTTACTGAATGTGATCATACAAGCACACTGGCTACAGCTATGGCTACAGCTATGGCTGCTAAGTATAGCTAGCCAGTTGGCACATTGGCGGGTCATCACATCTCTGAACAATTTTGTAACTGGTATTGACCACATATTCAAAAACTCACCACTGTGGGCCAGTGACTTCATGGCAGTTTCATGTGGTGTCACTATGACAACAAGCTACACTGCAGGGGGGGATATCTGCAGTGGAAAACAAAGCACCTGGTACCAAAAGTGAGTAGAGATAAGTAGAATAGAGTCAGGTTGAGCCGATACCAGGCAGTGGAAAAGAGGCTAATGGCAGGACAGGACCTGTTTAACATTCTTCAAGGATGGAGTGATCTTTACAATGATGTTTCAGTTGTGTTCATGACTTGGGTTCACATCAGTAAAATGTAAATACACTGTCACACTACTGTAACTGAAAACATGTTGAATAATGCATTTTACAATTAACACATTAATGCCTCCATGTGGTATTTAAGGTAATGGATTCTGGCATCAATATCTGACAGTCCCAGAGCCTCACTTAAAAGAAGTGTTCCCCCCAGCCAAGACTCATGTGACCTCAAAAGCTACATAAATCACAATAAAAGACTAAGGCCTCCAGTGATGGTTCCCATGCAGCAAATAAGACCCTAATAGTAAAGAGTGGTCACTGGAGATCCACAGACTCCTAGCTGGTGGAGATATAAAAGCCTTAAATCAAAGACAGTAGACAAATCTGTCATGGAGCAAACATGACACAAATTATGGCAGAGGGCCCTCCAAAGTGGTGTCGGCAATTACATGGATGAATAACATGAATAACATGGACATTTTGCAAATTCAGAGAATTTATTTTAAAAAACTACTCTGCTACCTTGAAAAACAGTGTTTTTTTCTTTAACAAGTTTCATTTACTTGCTTGGTCAATGAAAATGTGAGGTGATTAGATTGGAGTGAAAAAGGGAGTTATTTAATGATGTCTCCTTCAGCTGGAAAGCAGGAGGGCGGGGCTCCTACAATAAGCCAGATACACAGACAGTCAGGTAAACGTTATGAAGACAGATGAATGATGCATTGCCTTCAGCACTGAGGGAAATGAGATCAGATGTTGACAGCTAGATGGACAGATCCCTGGTCCAGAATTCAAATGCTTTCTCACACCTATATCACGTGGTCTGTGAATGCATACTATCCCTGGATGAGGCATACTCTCACTCACTTATCTGCAAATTCACCTTTTTTTTAAAGCTCTGTTATACATGACTGAGTTTAGCGTAATATGTGCAATAATTTTTCTGAAAACCTGAAGTCTAGTCTAGTCAACCGCCATGAAAAGATGTGGAACGTGTATCTTATAGTTCATAGCATAGATCCAGCATTTAAAGGTTTGGTTTAAAGTGTTGAATTTTGAGAGAGAGTATGGCACATTTTACAACTGTTTTATGGACTGACGGACTTGTCACAGTACTCCCCAGATGTGCTCTGTTGTCCCCATTCTGTGATTGTGTGGTTACTGGTCTCTTCACCATAAAGAGTGCAGGCCTGTACTGTGTCCTATACAATAAGATATGGAACAGTATTTTTTTATATATATCCTGAGGCCACTATCACACTATCATATAGAAAACAGGTGAAGAAAGTCGGTAGGTGGCAGTCGTGTCCCATTTGCCAGAGACACATGGGAGGAAGCGGTCTCTTTCTCACTTTAACTCTATCTCTCTTTCTGTCTCCCTATATCTAACCCCAGCCCCCCTTTTCCTCTCACGCACACACATACACACAAATGGGTGAGCGCCGAAACAATAATTTGTTTTTACTTTCCCTTTAAAAACTGACAAATGGATGAGAATGACAGAGGTAAAGAAATGGTTAATTAATGGCAATCATCCGGCCGAGACTCGGCGCATGGGCTCCTTGCATTGATGGAGAAATGTTCCGATCCCCCAAAGTTCAAATCAAAGCTATATGAAGGCTGAAAGAGGGAAAACGATTTCTCCTGCCCTCGCTGCTTCAGACCTGCGGCTGACTACAGTGGCGATCCAGCAGTGACTGACGAAACAGTCTCACTTGGAGAGAGCAGCTTGTCAATGGGAGGTAACCTACACCATGTTCCCCTTGTGCACTTATCAATTCAGTGTCCGTCCGTGCTGCGCCGCGCGTTTTTTCGGGTACGTAAATGCTGGGCTCACTGAGGTACTGTGAAGCGCACAGATGGATGCATCATGCGTGCGCGTAATGGAACGGAGAAATTTGTGATTTGAAGCACTTTAAAAGACACAGCAGTCGAGAGAAGAGAAGAGGAAGATGCCTGGACGATAAACACTTTGTGGATAACAATCCTTAAGCAGTTTCTTACACACCGTGTGTGTCGCATCAATGGATAGGCGAGGTTTGAATTGCCGAAATGCTGCTTACATAGATGGTGCGAGGGCGCAGAAGTGATGACTGCCTATGGTGAACTATAACTCCCGTCCACACAGGGTGAGATAAGGCGCACAAAACATGTACAGTAAGCACCGAGCTTTTGCTGTACAACCAAGGGTCTTCGCATTTGAATCCACTGGCCGAATTTCTGTCGGGTTTTTCAAGGCTGCTTGAGGATATCTGTGCCGGATGTTTTGTATTTATTTTTATTTCTTTCGACGTTGCATCTCCGATTAATGATGCTTTTTTTCCCTCTCAAAAATGGAGAACGGTGCAACCTGAAGAAAAAGATATGCACACATCTCGGCAACTTTATACATTCTCCGATGTGTAGGATACCTATCAAATGACTAAATGTCTTTCATTTATATACACAGGAAGGAAAATTGAAATACGCATCTTGAATCCGCACTGGGTTGTGAGGTGAAATCTAATCAGATTCAGCAGGGTTGATGACTAAGAAGTAATAGGGGCTTGAAGAAAAGTTGCATTTGTAACTGTCAGTGAGCGAGACGTTAAAATAACCCATGATGGTCTGCCAAACAGTCTAATGACGGGCTTTTTACGATCTACCTGGAAACTGACCGCACGAGGTTCTCCTTGCATGTTGTGGAGAGGTTACTTTTTTAAATATTTGCTTTAGATTTAAGGGAAAAAACAACTATAAACAGCCTTACTTCACAATCACCTAACTCATCGTTTGCAGAACATCTGGGGCCACAGTGAGATACGCTTTGCATCGAAGAGAGTAGTTTCAACAATGGCACTTGTTAAAGCTATGCGCCCTGAAGAAGAAGGGGAAACATCGGATGCATTAACATCACTGTGAGAGTTAACAGCATGTCATCCAGACTGATATATGGATTACATACCACGTCGTTCTGAGTGGGAACGTGATGCCTCTGACAAGTATGACCACGGATTTTGCTAAATCGCCTGAGAATTGCGGATATTTTTTTCGATGCAGTTTTTGGGGAGAGAGCGGAAGAAGGACTGTTCTCCGTCTGAAACAGAGATCCTAGAGACCTCGGCGTCCTTGTGAACAAGTAAGTTAGTGTTTGTGGTGTAAACACAATCTTGGTGTGATTGCCTCACTCGTGTCTATAACATAACTCCTTCATCCTGTTCTTCCTGCTGGATGTCTACATGTGGTACTTCCCCTCTTTCTTTCTTTTCCCTTTGACGACTGCAGTGATATAAACTAAATCAGGGCACAGTATCCCCAAGGCTTTACCCTCACTGATAGTGCGGCCTCTAACTAAAAGATCTCTAATCATGCACTGATATAGAGAAGGAAAAGATGCGTGCACTCGCGTGGGTCTGCTTGCGTTTCACTGCGCGCCCTTGTGTTGAGTGCAAGCTTAAATGTTATAAGAGTGTAGCTTTTCTACAAAACAAAGCAAGGCACATATTTGTAAAAGGAGGTATAATAAATGCGCTTGGCACGGTTTTTCACATTTTAACGTGATGGATGCAGACAAGGCAACTGCAGTCCATCCATCCACACATTCATCCATCCAATCCATACCTGCATGCGCTCAGGCTACATTCAGTTGGCCTATCTGGAAATCTGCCTTTTAGCTTATGTAACCTTTGAGGGAAAATATGCAATATATAAAATAATTAGTATTAGAATTTGATCTCTGGCATTTCAGACTCTTGCATAAAATGTCTAACATTGGTCTGTTTTCTTCTTTGTACGGTTCAAACAGAAGGCACTTGTTCATTGCCTTAGTAGTAGCTTGGGAGGGAGCTGTCTGTCTTGAGTGGTGCTGAAATTAAAATCTGCCATTTTTGCTCCCCCTCTGCTGAGCTGGAATAGACAGGGATACTGTAGTTCATGGCTTGAAAATCTGAGCCACTAGACTGCTGAATATAATCCTGTCCCAATATGCAATGAAGCAACAGATGATACATCTGTGATATAGAAGGAGTTAAAAGGGAAGTTGTAGGTGTTCCCAGTTGCATTGCAAATATCATTTCCCAAATTCAAATAAGATGCAAGCAGCCTAATGTGCACATGGATGCTTTTAATAAGACTTTATCCCTATGTTCTACAGTCTACCCGGGGGTTGATCAGTCACCTGCATTTCTAAATGAAGGATGAGCATTGTCCTGAGCAGAGGTTAGTACAAATTCAACTGTTAAATCTTTCATATCAGTGCTTTTAAACTCTGTAACAGGTGAGCTTAAAAATAGACCTCTGTCATGCTGGTGATAAACCAGTGTTGGTGGTAAAAGCATAAATAGAGGTGGCTGTCACCCTTCAGACAAAGAATGGATTGCATCTCTCACCTGTGAAAGTGAGAAACATGGCAAACATTATTCACCCACTGAAAGAAAAGCCCTGTATATGATGGAGTGGCATCACCTTGGGGAGACAAATTAGATTGCTGATTTTATGTTTTTGCCTGTCAGAGGCTTCAGCATGATAAATTCTTCCTACATGTTCCTAAGATTGCAGTTGTTTGTTGGCAACTGGTGCAGTTATCCATAGTAATAAACAGAGAGACAGTTCCACCTCCTCATTCAACACTGCTCAAACCCTCTCATCCCTGTGGTGAGATGAATGTGGGCTATACTGTAGGTCTGGGATGTCACGGACTACATAAGGAACAAAGTACTTTAAAATGGACTGATTCACTTGGAAGCCTTGGATCAGTGTTTGTTTATTTCACTATGCTAGAGTGGCAACAGCTGTATCCCCAGTGAGTCCCTATTAGTCCTCCTTAGCAGTAGGAAATGGCCTTAGAGCAGGTGCAGCAGAGGAACTGAGAGGGACTTCCTGCTGCTCACACAAAGACAGTCTTCAGCTGATAATGTTGCCACCATAGACATCTGTTTTATGACCAATTTCTCCAGCCACTGTTGTTTGACTTATCTATTGAAAATCATACTAAGCAGCCATGTCAGAAAATGAAAGCACTTGTCAGCTGGAAAGGCGCACTACTAAAATGAGAGGCCAGGGCCTTGCAAAGCAGCTGTATACCTATGTTTCCTTTCACACTGCTTTTGTCATTTTTCTCCTCCTTAGCCTGTGACTCAGTTCAGATCAGGGCCAGCACTTTGTGCCATATAATAAAATGTTCATTTCTCAAATCGGATTAATCTTTGCAAGGCACATATTTGTAAAAGGAGGTATAATAAATGCGCTTGGCACGGTTTTTCACATTTTAACGTGATGGATGCAGACAAGGCAACTGCAGTCCATCCATCCACACATTCATCCATCCAATCCATACCTGCATGCGCTCAGGCTACATTCAGTTGGCCTATCTGGAAATCTGCCTTTTAGCTTATGTAACCTTTGAGGGAAAATATGCAATATATAAAATAATTAGTATTAGAATTTGATCTCTGGCATTTCAGACTCTTGCATAAAATGTCTAACATTGGTCTGTTTTCTTCTTTGTACGGTTCAAACAGAAGGCACTTGTTCATTGCCTTAGTAGTAGCTTGGGAGGGAGCTGTCTGTCTTGAGTGGTGCTGAAATTAAAATCTGCCATTTTTGCTCCCCCTCTGCTGAGCTGGAATAGACAGGGATACTGTAGTTCATGGCTTGAAAATCTGAGCCACTAGACTGCTGAATATAATCCTGTCCCAATATGCAATGAAGCAACAGATGATACATCTGTGATATAGAAGGAGTTAAAAGGGAAGTTGTAGGTGTTCCCAGTTGCATTGCAAATATCATTTCCCAAATTCAAATAAGATGCAAGCAGCCTAATGTGCACATGGATGCTTTTAATAAGACTTTATCCCTATGTTCTACAGTCTACCCGGGGGTTGATCAGTCACCTGCATTTCTAAATGAAGGATGAGCATTGTCCTGAGCAGAGGTTAGTACAAATTCAACTGTTAAATCTTTCATATCAGTGCTTTTAAACTCTGTAACAGGTGAGCTTAAAAATAGACCTCTGTCATGCTGGTGATAAACCAGTGTTGGTGGTAAAAGCATAAATAGAGGTGGCTGTCACCCTTCAGACAAAGAATGGATTGCATCTCTCACCTGTGAAAGTGAGAAACATGGCAAACATTATTCACCCACTGAAAGAAAAGCCCTGTATATGATGGAGTGGCATCACCTTGGGGAGACAAATTAGATTGCTGATTTTATGTTTTTGCCTGTCAGAGGCTTCAGCATGATAAATTCTTCCTACATGTTCCTAAGATTGCAGTTGTTTGTTGGCAACTGGTGCAGTTATCCATAGTAATAAACAGAGAGACAGTTCCACCTCCTCATTCAACACTGCTCAAACCCTCTCATCCCTGTGGTGAGATGAATGTGGGCTATACTGTAGGTCTGGGATGTCACGGACTACATAAGGAACAAAGTACTTTAAAATGGACTGATTCACTTGGAAGCCTTGGATCAGTGTTTGTTTATTTCACTATGCTAGAGTGGCAACAGCTGTATCCCCAGTGAGTCCCTATTAGTCCTCCTTAGCAGTAGGAAATGGCCTTAGAGCAGGTGCAGCAGAGGAACTGAGAGGGACTTCCTGCTGCTCACACAAAGACAGTCTTCAGCTGATAATGTTGCCACCATAGACATCTGTTTTATGACCAATTTCTCCAGCCACTGTTGTTTGACTTATCTATTGAAAATCATACTAAGCAGCCATGTCAGAAAATGAAAGCACTTGTCAGCTGGAAAGGCGCACTACTAAAATGAGAGGCCAGGGCCTTGCAAAGCGGCTGTATACCTATGTTTCCTTTCACACTGCTTTTGTCATTTTTCTCCTCCTTAGCCTGTGACTCAGTTCAGATCAGGGCCAGCACTTTGTGCCATATAATAAAATGTTCATTTCTCAAATCGGATTAATCTTTGTAAAGCCCAGCTTAGGACACCATTAGCATTCATTTCTTTCACTGCCTGGGACTTGTATCAATAATCGAGCTACCCCTACATTTTTCATCTTCTCTGGGTATAAAGTCTCTCTTGGGGGTTTCATTCAGTGAGAAAGGGAATAGTTACAGTGATCTGTTATTGACTCCCAGCCTTTTGTATTGAAGACCAGCAGTGCGATGCAGGGGGGTCTGAAGTGGTTTGCCTGATAAGAGTGGAAGGCCTAATGTCTAATGCTGGAAGGCCTACTGTAAGTGCATACTAACCAAATACAAACACACCTTCAGTGTGTTGCATTTAACTTTCTACAATAACATGCAGAGTATATTTCTACTGAAATTAGCAGACATTACTGTACACATTCATATGTCTTTATTGCTAGGATACTTCTTCCCACATGGATAAATGTTTGCAGTCAAACAAGGTCTAAGCACGCCATCAAATATTTGAAATCTAGTTAATCAAAGTTCACTGATGTTTTGCAAAATAAATACATGTATAGATTTAAATATTACCTGCTGTATATCGCAGTGGACATACTGTACAGTAATTATCGCAAGTTCATCTTTGTCAGCACTCAGAGGAGATTTTGAATTTTAAAGTGTATTTTAGCTGATGTCAGTTGAAGCTTTTTCAAAGTGCATCATGGCTGATGATTGCTCCTTTTATACATGAGGTCAGTCAAGTGGGAATTAATCATGCATTGTCCTTGCAGAAGTAAGCAAGAAGAGAGTCACCTTTAAGAAACTGACATTTGGAAGATGACAGTGGTGTAAGTCTACACCACAGGCGGCCATTGTGCGGCCTAAGTTCCATTTACTGTAAACTGTGCTGCTGGTGGATGATGCATACAATGCTTTGAACAGGTTAGGTATCAGATTGGTTGGCTGTAAACATGTAGCAATGTGTCACTGCTTTGTCACTGCAGGCTCACTGTCACAATGGCATAGACTTTACTGAGAGAGAGGGAGTCGTGTCCAGTTTTCTTTATCACCGTGGATGATCGTTTGAGACTGAGATTGTATGTTTTTTTATGCTTCTATAATGTAATCTACTCTGTCAACCAAACACAAGTGAGCATCCTGGACACAGACAGACATGAATGCTATCTGCAGTAGCCACACTCATTAGTCATCCTCTCCAGCGTGTCTGTCTGAGTGTTCTGTCGAAGGAAAGAACACCTGAGCAGGGGGACAGCCG